GCATAATAGTTTTTGTGATTTTCATTCATTCAGTTGATTGCTTTCAATGATTTTCATTGATTGTAAATTAAATAAAATCAATTTATCTTTAGACCATCTTTTAGGATGAGATCTGCCAAAAAGTATTTAAATATCAATAAAGCTCGTAAAGCTCACGTTACTTCTAAATTGAATCAAAACATCAGTTACATTTTATAAAATTTCGGCCAGTTTTATTTGCTGAAATTCTTATACTCCTCAAGAGATAAAGGGAATTCAGACAAGTTGATAAAAAAGTTATCTTTAAAAAAGGTTGTTATTTTGTCTGTAATAAGGTGTATGTCAACTTACTATTAAATGTATGAAAATTAGGATTGGATTATGGAAAAGCACACGAACGCTATCTGCTTAAGGGGATGGATGCTTTCGTGTAAACCTTTTTAAGAGAAAATTGCTCGCATTTACGTTCCTGGTGGAAAACTCCACATGTAATCAACCCGCTCTTCGGTATTGATTGGATTAATTTTGTTCGCTTACTGAATTACATCAAAGCACACAACAATTACCTGTATAAGCGGAGTTATGCCTTCGCGGAGGTTTCTAAGAGAAGCTGGCTTGCATTTACGTTACACAAAAACCATGAATCCAACTATTTAGCCGGGATTCAAACCCAAGCGAGCTACAAGTGTTCAGCCACCTTTACCGCTCTACTGAAGAGCCCATAAAAATATTGATAAAGGAAGAGTATTGAAATAACCGGTTTAATTTACTAACCTACAGTGTCTCACAAAAGTGATGGGACATTTGTGCTTTACAAAAGGAAACTGGATTAAAATAAATTAAAAAAACATGTAAAAATTTTTGTGGGTGTGTTTCATACTTAAATTTAGTAACAATTATTACATATCATACATTTTCTCAAAATATTAAAATATTAATTTAATAAAAATACAATTGTTAGAACGGAGCAAAAAATGGCTCACGTAAGTGATGGGGACACCATTAGATACTACTACGTACTACAATAAAAATATTTTTTGGGTTTTTTATTTTTACTCAAAAGCAATTGGCAATAATTTATAAAATCGTCTGCAGTATTTCTCTCCAGTTTGTTTTGGAATTTTTGTGTTTTTTTAGCTCTGTGCAGCCATGAATGCTAAACGAAAAGAAACTTTGCCTAAAATTTGAAAATTAGTTATTAATTTGCATATTGAACGTGGAAAGTCTATTAGAGAAACTCCTGAAACAGTTAACTCGAGTCATTCAACAGTTTGCAATATCATTAAACGATATAAAAAGAATCATATGATTCAGGATAAAAAAAGACCTGGCCGACCATCAAAGCTATCCAATGGAATAAAGCGAATTATTGTTCAAAATATTTAAAAAAATCCAAGAATGAGTGCTCCTAAAGTTGCTGCTGATTTACAAGAATTATATGGAGTAATTGTTAATCCTGAGACTAAAGAAGAGTAATTCCATCTACTGGATATCACGGTAGAGCAGCCAGGAAAAAATTCTTCGTAAGTGAAACGAAAGAAAACTCAGACTGGCTTTTGCAAAATCCAACATAAATAAGAATTCTGATTACTGGAATAAAGTTATATCTGCTGATGAGAGTAAATTTAATATATTTGATTCTGATGGTAGAATCTTGGTGTGGAGAAAACCCTGGGAAGAATTTCGCAAACAGAACTTCGTGCCAACAGTAAAACATGCTGGAGGAAGAGTTATGGTATGGGGGGTGTATGTCGTCCGCTGGAATTGGTAATCTTGTTTTTATTGACAGTATAATGGATAATTACAAGTATATTGGCATTTTAAATCAAAATTTGAAATCTTCAGCACGAAAATTGAACCTTCATAATGATTTTAAATTCTACCAGGACAATGACCCCAAGTACACTGCTTTGAACGTTAGACCCTGGCTGCTGTATAACTGTCCTGAAATAATAAAAACACTACCACAATCTCCAGACTTAAATCCCATACAGAATATTTGGCAAGAATTGGAATCAAGAATTCGCAAACACACCATTTTTTCAAAACAACAATTAAAATCGGTGCTTCAAGAAGAATGGAGTAAAAAAATTAGTCAAATCCATCCCAAGAAGATTAAATCATGTTTTTAAAGTGAAAGGAAATCCAACGAAATATTAAAACCTTTTAAAATGTAAAATTTTTGGATAAATATTTGATGGAAAAGTAAGTGTCCCATCACTTATTTGAGCCATTTTTTACTCCGTTCTAAACAACTGTATTTTTATTAAATTAATATTTTAATATTTGAGGAATGAGAAAATGTATGTGATGTAATAATTGTTACTAAAATTTAAGTATGAAACACACCCACAAAAAAATTTTACATGTTTTTTTAACTTATTTTACCATAGTTTCCTTTTGTAAAGCACAAGTGTCCCATCACTTTTGTGAGACACTGTATATTTCTCAATCGACAGTACATAAATTACGCATATGAGGGGGATTATTTGTGAATAAATAAACTGTATTGCACTTTTCTCCACTATTTCATATTACGATGGAAAATTATTGCATTTCAAAGTTATTTCTCATGAATTAAATTTGCTCTTCATGATTTTTGATATTTTCAAAGAGAAAATTCCACACTTTAAATAAAAAAAATACACGAGAAGATACTTTATGAAAAAATTTTGCCGTAAACGGTTTTTTCTTAATTTTGCTTTGAAAATATTCCAGGGTAATCGTTTTCATTACTGGAAGAAATATGAAAAAACAGATTTACTACATTGTGTCAACACCCAGTATTTCCTTATTCTTTTGAAAACGTGAAAGATTACTCTTTCTAAAATAAATTAAGAAAATATATTATGTGCAAATAGAATATTCGTTGAAAATGAAATAGACTTCTACTTTTGAATATGACGATGGTTTTAGACGAAATTTCTACCTATGAAAAGAAATTGACGTATAATTAATTCTTCATGAACATTTAAAACTGTTCTCAAAATTCTTTTGATGATTGCATCTCTGCTAACATAAACAAAAGCCAATTTTACAAAGAAAAATTCTCGTTAAAGATATACCTTCTTTGCCTGATAGTCCAACGTAATATTTGTTAAAAGTTAAATTCATTAAAACACAACCAATGTATCTCGGATTTTGATTTTTATATTATAATAACAAAATTATCGAAAAAAGCAGATTTAAATCTCTTTAAATCTGTTATTGTTATAAAGCTTTATTATTGCTGTAAGTTCATCTCAAAATCTAATTGTATTGAATCTCATTCTAATCATCTAATGGTAATAAATATTATTATTATTATTTCATTAAATTAGTCATTACCATTATTTTATTAATGAAAATATGTTATTAAAAATCGCATTCCAGCCTGCAGACTTACAAATCTAGTCTGTATTTACTATATTTTGTTAAATTTTTGTTCTCGCTTTCTAATTTCTAATACGAAAAATACGCGAATATAAATGAAGAGTGAAAAAAACAAAGTTAAAAAATTCACAAAAATTATTTACGAGATTGATTAGAAATAGTGAGTGAAATATAAACATTGCATACATTTTCTTCTAAATAAAGTGTGAACTGGATATGCATCCAGTACTCCAGTACAGTACTGCATATTTATTTATGCACTATTTATTTAGAATTTTGCTTCATTTAAATGAAAGCAAAATAATCATCGAAAAAATTGCAAATCTAGCAACCCCTCTACTATGGGACGTAAGCGTCCGACAAACATGTAAATTTTACTTCATCCATGGAGGGGAACTAACGACTTTTCTCATTAGGAAAATGTCAAAGAGGGGGCAAAACTGTTTCGGATCGCGCTGGTCTGAAAGCTATATTATGAGAATTTCAGCCTGGTTTTAGAAGGTTAAAAATATGAAATCATAATTTATGAAATAAAGAGCAATTATGGTCTAAAAGGTATCAAAATTTACAAAAAAAAAAAAAAAAAAAAAGCTTAATATTTATTTGTTTACTTTATTAAACATTTCTTTCAATGTAAGTTGTTTAAGTTGCTTCGTTTTATGTGATAATACTTTCTCTTTAATTCTATAAACAGACATAATTTCTTGTTCAGTTACAAAGTTCCACTGTTCAAGTCCTGTAATTGCTGTGCTGAGAATATCGACTAACTTGTCAATCAAAGTTTTTTCATTTTCACTAACCTCTCTGTCACTTTCTTCATGCCTTTATCCATTTTTTGCAGCAATTCCACTTTTTGTTTGATGGACATTGAAACATGCTTTCGCTTTGTAGTTCCTTTGCAGCTCCAAAATCGGAAACTCTTTTTGACATAATCGAAAGTTCAAGCTTACTTTTTATGAAATTGCACTAACAGTCTGCAAAAAATAATAAGCCGGGTCCAATTAGAAGATTAAGGAACAACGCAATATGCAACATTAACTGAAATAGAAAATTAGATCATTTTAGACTAGCTTATACCGTTCGTTATACATTAAATGCGCATGCATAAACGTATTATGCACATGCGTAAATGCATTATGCTTTTATGCATGCGCAGAAAGTTTGTAGCTTTGAGGTCCGGATTATGGACGTCCAGATTAAAGACTTTGTACTGTATTCTTTAATTTTCATAGGATGGGATTCACAGAATTTTTATGATTCAGATATTCAATTATATAAAATTATTAAAGTGTGCAAGATTACTGTTAGGTTTTTGTGTTTTTATGTGAATTATTTTTTTTTAATGCATTGCTGTAGAATTCCAATAAACAACAGCTATTTTGCAAGAAATCTCTATTAATATTATATTGAATATTGTTAGAAGTGTTGATTTCCTCCTTCTCTTATGAATTGAGATTATATTAAAGGACCAACTATATCAAAATCAGTTTTTGAATTGATTTTATTATATGTACATGATATACAGCATTATGTATAAAGCGATAAAATAATTAGTTGAGTAATCTTCTTCAGTTTTGTATGCATGTGTGAGTTAGTGACCACTAAATTATAAGATATTTTTTAATTGCTAATTCCCTCTTTTCTTTAAGGTTACCATTGACGATGCAGCAAGCGCTTCTTACTGAACTACTGAAAATTTGTAGTAACAATCCTAATATTAATGAAATAAGATATGACGATATAACAACTGATGCACAGTTTGCACATATTTTATATAATATCTGGTAAGTCTACATGTATATATATATATATTATTGTTAATTGTTCAGGGGTTGGTTTGTTCCCCTTGAAAAGTCAACCAATTTCGATCAATGAGGAAAATTACTTGGTTTGGTGATAAATTTTTCATTTTTAAAAGTTTCCAAATTCAGTTTTTTCATGATCAATATCCGATGTTTCTTTTAAAATAGTTTTTAAAGATTCATTTTTAAATGATTCTAAGTTACTTCCTTGAACTACAATTCTACTTTCTCAAAGGAGATAGTATACTCAATAATCCATTAGTAGATTATAACGTTGCGTGCCTCCAACTTGCACGCAACCAAGAGGTGACTGTGAAAACTTGTATAAAAGATAGAAGCTTGTGAAGGGTTTAAGTCCCTTTTTATTCAACGTAATAAATTACAATTGTGTTCTCTTGACGCTTACAGACGGTGCCAACTTGGCAGTCAAATAAAAATAATAACCTGAAAAGAAAATAAAGACAAGATTCTAACTACGAGGCTCTCTAAAATAACTAACTCACCGCGTTTTACAATACCGCTGCTAATTCAGCAGACTTGAAGCTCACTGGAACGATGACCACTACTTCCCGCCAAGCACATAGGCCGCAACGCGGGTTTCTTCAATTCTCGCTAACTACCTCCTCGCTCGCTAAGTAAGAGAATCTCTCACACCGAACTCGTTTCCTTCTATTTAAATCAGAATACTTCCGCTGATAATTTGAATCCTTGCGCGTTCTACTAAAATTTACATATTCTGGCATTGGCAGTTCCAGGGGAAAGTAAGGCTTGACAGGAAAGATAGTTTAAACTTAAAATAAATGTTAGTTAAAATAAATATAAACCCTACAAGATAAATAATTATTTTATTACTTTGCAGCTTTTGTGCAAGTATTAGGCAGTTTATTAAGATTTATTAATATATTTACTTTAATTCAATCTTATATATATATACATATATATATATATATTAAAAATTGTAGTAAGCTCACCTAAAAGTTACCAAGAGCTGCTGCTCCAAAAAGTTCAACACGTTTTAAAAATTAATACATATGAAAAAACATTAAAAGTAAACATAAACAAGTAGCGGGGTAATAGCCACCACCAAATATTCTCCTTAATACTACTTGTTTTTTTTATATATATATATATATATAATTTATTTCCTAAACAATATTGATTATATTATCTCCCTAAGTTTAATTAAAGTAGAATTATTTTAAAAGAGTGAATCCATACTGGTAAGTTTAATTTCGAAAAATGTTTAAAATTGTTTAATGGGGATGTGAATTAAATCATGAATAAAAAATTTCAGTTTTAAAAAGAAGAATAAAAAATTTCAAAAAAAGGAAAATTAAAAACATGTAATCATTGTCATTGATCGGAAATTAAGTTGACTTTTCAAGGGGAACAAACCAACTCCCGTTCAACGAACAATAATTGATAAAATACGTAAATACGAAGGTGTTTCGTCTTTACTCGAGTTATAAGTTAAAGCCAAACCGGCAATTCTAGTCAAATAGGCCAAATATCTTCCGCGAATAGAAGGGATATGATCCAATGCTTATATACTCAAAGAACTTATTCTTATGAAGCAATTTTAGTCAATTCAATTTTGAGTAAAAAGCAAAATCTGTAGAGAAATCCGATATAACCCGAGTAACCGTCCCCGACACCTTCATGTTTATGCATTTGAGTTCTATATTATTTGTAAAAAATTAAACATTGGAAATTGTTCATTATGAAATCGAATTCAAAGTAAAGTTGAAATAAACATAGAAGATTACAAAATAAGATAAATAATGCAAAGTTTGTAAAAACAAATCAAAGAAATAAAGTAATATAAAATAAAATATATAATAATAAAAAAACAGTGAATGTACATGAAGATATAAAGGCCAGAAAAGGTATTAAGTAACTTACATTCTTTCTAGTGGGGAGTTGGCAAAGTGTTCTCTTCGTGTCTGACTCAGAAGTGTTTGGGTGTCCGAAAATTCTTAGCGGCAGCAGTGGGGGCTTTGAATAATATCAGTCGGTAAGACTTGGGTGTGAAGTAATTTATGGTAGTGGGTTGGACTCGGAATTCTTGAGGGATGTATTTTGTGGAGTTCTTATTTTTAGAGAGAGACTGTGTGTTAAGATTTTTTTGAAAATACTAGTGAATGGAAATTAATTAATTTCTGGCTAATTGTCGTGTCGCAATGATTAAGAATTTAAGAAAGGAAAAAAGGAATTTTTCACTGTCCAAGAGCTATTAGACAGACTAAAGTCATGAAATAGGCCCATTTTTTTAGTAGTACAGTATAACAGCATGAGTCTGAAGACAATTAGGTTTTTACAATATATACAATTGAGTAATTACACTATATACAAATCCTTCAACTGATAGTCATCCAACTTATACCGCCTTCTCAGGTTTAGGAACAAATTATCATATCCCTATCAGTTACATGATTTAGAGTGAGTATTTAACGCCTGCTCTTTTAAGGCAATGGTTGATAAATTGAATGGGTATTAGATTATTTTTGAGAATTTTAATAAGGAGCAAAATTTCGCGTTGTAAATCTATTGTATCTGTGCATATAATTTTAATTCGTTGTATTTGATTAATTATAGTATTGTTAATTACTTTTTGGATATGTTGGAATTCCAAAATTAAATGTATTGCTTGTTATCTGTATACATTAATCATATTTGCTTGAAATTGTTTCTGTCATCATCGTGTTTTTATGCATAGAAAAATAATCTTCCAGGCTTTGAAAATAAAGGCTTCACAGTTTTACCTTTTACTTCGTTGCATCAAAAAAATTAATAATTTGTAATATGCATTTACTTCGCTATGTAAACAGTTGTCTCATGGATTAGAGATGCTGAGCTAATCATCTCGTACTTTAATTAATGTACACTATACTTTTTTTTTGGCCATGTAAAATTAAACCAAAACATCTTATTAGCATTAAGTAGAATGCAGAAACATATTCTCAGGATCTTTTTTTTGGGGGGGGTTAATGGAGGGCGATGCCATCAATTAGTTTGAAACACATGAATTGTGCTTATGTGAAAGCTGTATATAATTAGTCATAATGTGGTTCTGTACCTAAAATAGAATAAACAACAATAATTGAGTATTTTGTTTGAACTGCAGAAAAAGAACATCTTTGCACAAGATTTCTTTTAGAAGATCGAAAATTCTCTTCATCACAGCTTTGAAATTCACATTTAGCTGCTAAAAGCAATTTACTTGAATGCTATTTGGTTTTGATATGTTTCAGTGCTGAAAATATTATTTATTCATGATTATAATATGACAAATCATATAAAACACCTGATAAGTGAGATTACCAAATTTTGAACCTCCTTAACTAAATGAACATAAAAATCTTGCACAGTGCTCGCTTAATAATTATCACGTTGCCTTTATTCTGAGTTTCTGATGGTAATTTTTTGCATCTGAAGGAAATGTATATGGATTTGGTCTTGTTTTTTTTTTTTTTTTTTTTCCCTCAAATACAATTCCTCAGTTAAAAGTACTATAGATGTCTTACAATTTCCCCATGTGACTAAATGATTTTTCATTGGAATGTTTAGTCTGCAATATGGAAAGTGATTTTATATGCAGCTGCTGAGAACTTTTGATTCTCCAAGAAAAATATCTAAAACATACACCTTCCCCCCACCAAAGTTTGATGTATTGAAATAATTGCTTTTCTGATTTCAAGTACAAATCCTTATTATAGAAATTTTTGCATTTCTTTTGCAAAGGTACAGACAGCTCTGTGTTACTGAAAAAAATTGAAAGCGGATTTGTTCTTTCTTTTCTTCTCTTATGCTGTTAATTATTTTGGTTTTGTTCCAAATGGAAAATAAATGTGTCATGTACACTGCTCAAAAAAAAAAAAAAAAAAGGGGGGGGGACAGTGCTATATCTCCCGTTCTACTGGGCCAATTGACAAAATTCAAACTGCGTTTTTCATGTCTCGAAAGCGCGACTTAGGATATATATTAGATTTATATATAGCACTATTCTAACATAGGTATTTTGACACAAAATCGGACTTTTTCTGAAATAACATATCAATATTTTTCCATATTTCGATTCTATGACTCAAATTATGCCAGAATACCAAGTTTTGTAAAAATCGTACGAGTAGTTTTTAAAATATTAGCTTTCAAAATTTTAGCTCCTCAATGTTAATTGAATTTGGTAAATATTTATTAATATCTCTTTTTTTATAAAACTTTTATTATTTTTCCTTTCACATTTCGAAATTTAAGTTCATTCCAAATAAAATTTACCATTTTTTGTGTTTTATTTTTTAAATTTCTATTTTTAAATAATTTTTATAAATTTTTCGCAAAAAATTTTGAATTATAAACCTACAAAATTTTTACCATCATCTTAAAGTAGATGTATATTTGAGCATATCTGCAAAAAATTAGACTTTTCTATTCAAAATTTTCTAAGATATACATGAATTTACATATTTTCACGTTTTGAAATTTGCCATCATTTTTTTTTTAGCGATAATAATGCCAAATGTGGTCTATGGATTTTTGTTACAGTGAATTGCCACAGCTATTTTTAACCTTAAATTTCAAGTAAAATTTTATGGAGAATTAATTATATGAAATATTTTCCCTCAATGATTCGTAATAAATATTTATTAACACTATATGAAGCTATTTTTTTAAAAATTACAGATGATATTATTCAAATTTTTAACTATTTTTTTAAATTTCTCTCTTTCTTCCTTTTTTTTAAAAAAAATAAGAGTAAATTTTTACCTTCGGCGTTTTATCGTCGTACTTTAACTTTGTTTGAATCGAATTGTCTGAAACTGAGAATTTTCGTTTGATGTTTATTTGAATTTTATGACATTAACTGCATAATTTATTTCTAAAGAAACTGTTGCCTATGAAGTGGCTGAAAGAGTGGCTGATACTATCATCCATATTTTTAAAGCACAGTATATTTTTATAAAAAAAAATTGAGAATAATCATT